GCTGCAGCTACTGCGCCTGCCGCTGCTACTGCCGCTCCTCCAGCTGATGTAGCTCTAGCTGCTGTAGCTTTAACTCTCTCTCCTCTCGCAACAAATCCAGCTGCTCCTCACATGCACGGCGAACACGGGCCTGGTGTCGGGTCGGGTAGGGGTGGGGGGGAGGAGTAGTGTTCGGGGCGGTGGTAGCCCCAGGACCGCCCTCCAAAGCACCAGTCGCACCACCCCCAGAGCCAGCACCACCAGCAGCAACACGGCCGGTCCCAGACTCTCCAGGTCCCGTAGTGGGCACACCCGCACCCCCCGTCATGGCACCCCCAGTCGTAGCATCCCCAGGGACAATGCGACTATCACCAGCTCCCCAAAGACTAGAATCTCATGCAGAATCGGGCTCAGCTCCAACTCCAGCACCCCCGGCACCAGAACCTCGTGGAGGCACACTCTCAGCTCCAACTCCAACCCCTCCAGAGGTAGCACCTCCAGGGTCCGCGTTACGGACACCAGCACCCTCAAGGTCTGCAGTAGCCTGTGGAGGAAGTGCTGGCGGCTGCTGCGGTTACTGTGAGGAGGACTGCGGAGAAGGGGACGAGACCTGAGGGGCTACTGAAGGGGGGGGGGGGGGGGGGGTAGCGTGTGACACACCTGACTGGGCTGGACCAGGGGGGGGGGGGGGGGGGGGCTGTACCTGAGGAGCCGGAGGGGGAGTGGGAGTTAGGAAGAGAGGGGGAGGAGGAACCGGGAGACCTCGACAGGGGTACCGGGTATAGTAGGGGACTGACTCGTCAAAACAGACGTCACGGGAGTCAAAGAACCGGTGAAGGGGAGGGTGGTAAAAGGTGAAGTCAGAGGAGTCCTCTGGAAAACCAAGGAAGACACAGGGAATGGTGCGAGGCGAGATCTTATCCACGGAGGTGTCGCGAACACGCGCCAAGCAACCCCAGACACGAAAACGGGACGCAACACCAAGGGACCCAGTCCAAAGACTGGTCGGTGAAGCCATTGGCCAGGAGACACGTGGCCGGAGGTTCAAGTGGTGAGCGGCGTACCGAACCGCGTAGGGCCACAGAAAATGGGGCGCATGGGCGTGAATCATGGAGGTAAGTGCTATATCCATGACCAAGCCTATGCGGCACTCAGCAACCCCATTCTGCTGTGGGGACTCCGGAAGCGTCCAGGACTGACGGATGCCTTGCTCGCGTCAGAATCTGGCGAGAATGCCGGAGCGAAACTCACCCCCACGGTCGGAGTGAAGACAACTAACACGACGACCACGAGTTTCCGCAGTGGTAAGCAGCCACCGGACCAGCGTAGAAGTCACCTCAGAATTCTTTGCCAGTGGGAACATTGTGGTGTAACGAGAGTAGTCGTCAATGACCACGAGAAAGAAACTCTCGCGCTCAGAGCCAGGGCGCAAGGCGGGGCCCCAGACGTCCAAGCGGAGAGTCTCGAAAGGCTCGGTGGCCGGACGAAGGGAGGAGGAGTGAGGGGTGGCGTGCAGCTGACCCTCGACGCAAGGGGCGCAAGGTGGTGCAAGCGAAGGCGGCAGCAACAGCAAGACTCGCAGGAGGCCTAAGACGAGACGCTGACTAGCCATAGTGCGCAGGCGAGGAATGGACGGGTGACTAAGGCGGCGGTGGTACAGAACGGTGGGGTGGGCAAGCGACCGACGCGAGCAAGAGGCAGCAACCAGACCAGACGCTGGAACTCTACCAGACGCAGCTACCTGGTGGGAGGTGGAAACCTGGTGAGACGCGAGGACCTGACGGGGGGCAGTGACAGGGGTCGGAGGCAGTTGCTGCTGCTACCACTCTCGGGGGCCAGTGTGAAGTGTGTAGAGACCAGAGCCCGGCTCAGCGTGAAAGGTGGCCAGGGGTGCGTATGTGTCACCGTCTACACAGGTCGCAATGTCCCCAGAAGGCTCAATCCAAACACCCACGTGACTGTCCACGCGCGACCTCACACCCACCAAGTTCTTGGAGAACGAGGGGACGTGAAAGCCGGTCAAGAAACCCGAGGGAACAGCCGGACACGGAAGCGTAGTAGTGTAGTGAGCAGTGGCTGGTCCTGAAGTGGGATCAGCCAGTGCTACAGAGACGGGCGCAGGAAGCAGAGTAAGCGTCGTGTGGTCGCGGAAGAAAAAGTGTGAAGCTCCAGTGTCCAGAGTGAAAGACAGCGAAGCGTCCTCCGGAGCAGCTCCTGGGCTAGTGTCTACACAAGTACCTACACTAGAAATAGGCACCTCAGCAACACTAGCACCTAAGCTAAAAACACTTGAGTAAAGAGAGTCAGAAGCAATAGAATCAACAACAACATACATAGCATGAGGAGTTCCTAAGATATCAAGCAATTGAGAAGAAGACATGCCCCACAGGGCAGTACCGAGCGAGTGGAGAAAAGGAAGCCAGTCAGGGGTAGGGTCGTCGACGCCGTAGGCCGCGCGAAGAGTGTCAGTGAGCTGAGCAAAGCACTGATCCGGGGTGTGGCTGCGGCCACAGGGGAGGCCTCGGCAAGTACCTGTCTGGACGATATAGGTGCAGGGAGGGTGGACGGCACCGCGCGACAGCTGATGCGGTCCTGACCCCTGCCCCGGAACCTGTTGTTGCCGCTGCTGCTGCGGCGGCGGCTGCTGCTGCTGCTGCTGCTGCTGCTGCTATCGCTGAGTCAGGTACCAAGCCGCCACTCCAGCACCTGTAGTTGGCAGTCCAGCAGGCGTCTGACGTCCCCGAGTGTCACCTCCACCAGCTGCAGCAGGGAGTCACTAGGCGCTGCACGGGGCGCTCCTCCAACTCCCGCACTCCTGCCACCGCCACTCGTCACGCCACCTCCGCCACCTCCGCCGCCTCCCCCGCCTCCGCCGCCTTCGCCCGCACCCTGACCGCCCCTCCTGCCACCCCTACCCCTAGACCGCGAAGAAGTCGTAACACCAGCTGCGGTCACGTCAGTAGCGGCAGTGGCAAGGGAGGCAGTAAAGGTGGGCAGTTGAGGGACAGTGCACCCGTGAAACAGTGGAAGGGGCACAGTGCCAGAGGCGGTGGCTACCGAGCGGAGGTTGCTCTCGACGTCCTTGAGGGCAGACTCAAGAACCTCGATAATGAGCTCGCTAGGGTGCTTCAGAAGAAGCGTGTCACAAACCGAGGCAAGGCGGTCAGGGAGGCTAGTGGCGATGAAATAGATAGTAATCGCCATGGGGGGAGGGAGCAGTGCAAGTTGTGCGTCAGTGCTGGAAGCGTGGTAGCTAGAATCGAGCGAGCGCAGATGAGCAATCAAGTCGACAGAGCGCTCAAACGAGGCGAGGTCAGGAAACAGGAACGGGAGGAAAAGTCGACCAAGAGAGACAGTGGTGGGAGTAGCGTAGCGGGCTTTGATCGTAGTCAGGAACTCACTAGCAGTGCGAACCTGAGTGAAGTGGGCCTCCTCAGACTCAGGGAGGAGGTTGCTAAGGGCGATGCAGGCCGCAGCGTCACTCGACTTCCACGCTGTCGGGTCAGCATGCTGGCGTGCATAACGGTCTCTGTCTGCAGTGCTGGCATCAACACCTAAGGGTGCAGGGCCGGAGGGCGCAGGAAGGTCATCGGAAGCGTGCGTCAACAGCGACTCGTCTGCCTCAACCTGACTCTCTAGGAGGTGGAGCACACGCAGGAACCAGACCGAGAACTCGAGCGGCCTACCCTCGGCGTCAAAGCGCAGGACCCTAGGGGTTGCCAAAGCGGAAGCGAAGAGGTGGGAACTGCTGCTGCCGAAACCCTAAACGCCTAAAGGGCCTGCGTAGGGCGTGACAGGCAGTGCGTGAGGCTCAGGGCACGGCAGAATGGCAGGGTAGGGCGCGACACGGCAGGATGGGCAGCGCGGGGCGAAGGGTCAGGACGGGCGCAGGGCAGAACGGGACGCGCGCGGCGCAGCGCCTCGCGGCAGGCAGGATGGGACGCGCGCGGCTCGGCGCTGCGTGGTAGGCAGGGCGGGACGGGCGCAGCGTGGCGCTGCGGGACGGGCAGGCAGGGCGCACGTGACGGTGCAGACGGGACGGGCGCGACAGGCTAGACGGGACGGGACAGACGCGACGCGACGGACGGGACAGACGCGACGCGACGCGACGGACAGGACGGACGCGACGCGACGGACGGGACAGACGCGACGCGACGGACGGGACGGACGCGACGCGACGGACGGGACGGACGCGACGCGACGGAAAGGGGCGATGCGACAGACAGGGGCGACGCGACGGACGGGACAGACGGGACGGGGGCGGACAGGCGCAATGCGACGGACGGGACGGGCAGCGGGGGGGGGGGGGGGGGGGGGGGCGCGACACGTCGGGGAAAGCGGGCGTGACGCGACCAGCATGCGCAGCGGGCGCCAGGGAACGGTACGAGCGTGACTAACACTAGGGTACGGGACATGCTCGGGCGTTATGGACGTGAGCGGGAGGAACGGGATCCCACAGGATCCGAACCTAGGTGATACCATGTCAAGAACTGAATGATGGTTTCACTAAGGTTGGTTGGGGTACATGAGCCTAACCCTAACTGCTGTACCCCATATGACACACATCACTAACGGCTACAACATTCGACACGGATCTAGCCATCATGTGCTGTCATATCGCCACTATTCTATGTGTTGGCAGGGAATCAGTTACTGCCAAACCGCACGAGATTCTAATTCTTCGACCCCAGATAATTTCAACTCGATTGAAATTGCCAGGACAAGTTTTACAGTTGGTGTAGAATAAAACGATATTTTACACATGTGATTAACTTGTCTCATGCACTTTTAAAAAATATTCGATTGTAAGCACACCCGCTTAAAAAACGTGATATATTATAAGCGCATATGCGCTTATATTCGAGGTGAGATGGCATGCCGTTCAAGCCGCAGCACACCCTGTGTTTTGACCTAAGTCAATGAAGTGGTCCGACGGTTCAATCGTGGTTATTCACATGCATGTATGGTACAATACAACATGAGCAAGAACTTGTTGAATACAGTGCAGCGACCATTACCAGTTACAACCACAAGTTCATGTCTCGCAGACAAACCTCTTGCTGCCTGCCATCCTCCCCACAGCTTACCTGCAGGGCCACCATCTCATTCCTATGCGCCTCCAGCCATGCCCTATCCCCCACCGCCCTCCACCCAGGGGGGAATAACTGCTCTGGAAGCATCCCCACGCTTGCTCCTTGCCCTGGACTCGTGCCTGCTCCCGTACCTGCATCTAAGCCTCCTGTCGAACCTCTGCCCAGCCTATCCTCCTCCACTCCCACGAACTTTGATTTCCGAACCATCTCAGCCACGGCATTGTTGAGGGCCCTTTTGAGAACCTCCGAACCAGAAAACACGCCCGAACCACCCTCTGTTGCTGCTTCTGCAATCTGATAACCTCTTAAAGCCCTGTCAGCCCAGCGGTGCACCATGGCTTGCACAGCAGGGGAGGGGCGAAGAGCCATGAGCCATGGAGAGAGGGACCCCAGGAGGGATGGCGTGAGGGCGGTGGTGTTGGTGGCTGGAGGGGGTGCTGCTTGCTGCGTGCTGGCCTCTTCCTTGTTCTCTGCAGTATCTCTAAGTTCCCTCTCTGCTGCTCGTTGCGTCGCTGGTGCCTCTGCTTGCTGTGTGCTGTCCCTACCCTCTCCCACCTGCTGCTCTGTGCTGTTTCCCAGCCCCCTTCTCTGCTGCCCCGTGTGCCCCGTGCAACGTTGGTGCCTCTCCTTGCTGTGTGCTACCCCCACCCTCACCCACCTTCTCCGTACTGTTTCCCAGCCCCTTCCCTGCTTCCCCTTGTGCCCCTTGCAATGCTGGTGCCTCTGCTTGCTGTGTGCTACCCCCACCCTCACCCATCTGCTCCATACCGTTTTCCAGCCCCTTCTCTGCTGCCCCTTCTCCCCCTTGCATTGCTGGTGCCTCTGCTTGCTGTGTGCTTCCCCCACCCTCTCCCACCTGCTGCTCTGTGCTGTTTCCCAGCCCCTTTTCTGCTGCCCCTTCTGCCCCTTGAATTGCTGGTGCCTCTGCTTTCCGTGTGCTACCCCCACCCTCACCTTCCTGCTCCGCACCGTTTCCCATCCCTTTCCCTGCTGCCAGCGAGCGAGGATGAGGGGAACACGGAGTAAATAGAACGTATTCATTTCTAGTACCAAGGTGCAAGCGCGCTATACCTGAAGACAACAGTCACGTTGGCAGCCAGAAGGCGGGCGAGGATGAGGGGCGGCAGCAGCAGGCACGTGGCTCTGGCCACTCGGGGAGACACACTTTCATTGGAGCGCGTGATGACGTGGCCGCCTGGTGTGCGCATCTGCATGGTGGGGGGGAGGGGTGAGACATGAACAGGAAAAGGGCTGAGGGGATTATCGTGTTGACAACGAGGAATCACCTGAGGAGGCTCAGAGAAATCACCTGAGGAGGCACTGAGGCGAGGATAGCGCTCCCGAGGGAAGGAATGCGGGTGATGTGGTTAAGCCAGTTGCGAAATAGAGACTCCTGGCCTGAAGTGAGGGGGGGGTTCGTCGGTGGGGAATTCAGCATGGGGAAAAATCACATGGTTTAGTGAGGCAACAACAAGATGCTTCTACGAGAGGGAATGCGGCTGACTTGGGTATGCCAGTTGCGGAATGGCGACTCCTGGCCTGCAGGAAACCAGCCAGACATGCGGGAGGGATTGGCAGCAAGAAGAAGCCGGCAAGGAAAGTAATGCGGCTCTTATGGGAGAGCCAGTTGCTGACTAACAACTCCTGGCCTGCGGATGGGAGGTGATGGTGGGGTGGCAAGCATGGGGGAGGGAATCACGAGGGAAGCATCATGGGGCCGACAAGGGAAGGAGGGGTGCGCCTTTTGTGGATGAGGCAGTTGCGAAATAACGACTCCAGGCCAGTGGATGGCAGGTGTGGGGGAGGGAATCGCGATGGTAGCAAGAAGAGGCCGACAAGGGAAGGAGGGGTTGCGTTGCGTGCACCCCATGTGGGTGTGCCAGTAGTGGATCGAAAACTGCTGGCCTGAGAAAAGAGGGACAAAATGAGGGGTTGAATGGTCAAGTGTCAAAACGTGTGTCAAGCGTCAAGCGACCAGAACACTAGCGTCACAGTGCTTGACCCTTGATGCGACCAAAACGCTGGCTTCATGAGCATCAATTCTTGAGACGTCTCAAAACAAAACGCTAGCTTCATGAGCATCAACCACCAAGCACTTCCAGCTTACTTTCAATCAACCACCGCCCCACTTACCCCAACTCACCAATAGAAGTCTTACCTCCCTTACAGAACGCACCATCGCAAGCAACAGGGACACCACCGTCCCCGCGGCCCATGCACGTTGCATCCCTCCCTCCCCGCAGCCCATACACGTTGCATCCCTCCCTCCCCGCGCCCCGCCCAAGATTCACAACTACCTCCTTGCCAATAGCAACGCACCATCACACGCAACAGTGACAATCACCAACCCAGCAGATATCGCAACACCCATCGCCGCCTCCTCCATCTTCCCAAGATGCTCCCCCACCCACGGCTCCACTGCTGCTAGTACCCGCGCCTCCCAATCCCCCCCCACTGCTGACCGCGCCTCCCAACCCCCTCCTCCCTCCCCACCTCTTCCACCAGCTTTTCCCACCCGTGTCTGCTCCTTGCCCTCTTTCCCGCTCCCTGTGCTGCCTTCCTCTATCCCTACTCCCACCATCCTTCCACCCTCATCCCTGTCAGCGAGCCTAGCCACTGGGAACAGCAAGATTTTTGAGGCGCCTCAAAAGTCGTCTCATGTCCTTTGCTTAAGCGTCCTCTCTACTACTGCAGCCCTTCGAAACATGAGTCAGGGTGAGCCTAGCCACTGGGAACAGCAAGATTGGCTCCTCCTCCTCACCCTCCTCCTGCACCCCTTCTTCTCCTTTCTTTTCAGCCCTTGTCTCGTCTGCCTTCTCCGTGTCACCCGCTGCCCCTTGTCCTTTCTCCTGTCCCTCAACCAGCCCTGCAGCAGACGAATCCGTAGCACCCATGCCAGAAGAAGCAGAACCAGCGGCTGTTGCATAAGCCTGACCTTCCGCGCCCTGCACTTTCTCTTTCACCCGCCACAGACCCGCCCGATTCAGCCCCTTGATCTTCACCTCCTTCCCAGTGAGATAATTCGCATGCACCATCACCACTCTCGGCCGCACCTCCTCAAACTCCTCCCAATGCTGCGCCATCAGCTGCCCAGACGGGAACTGCAGCGGAGGCAGGACGCCAATCCGCGGCAGCACCTTTCTTTGATACATCCACTGCATGACCAGATTGAACTGCGTCTGGTCCATCCCCCCCTGCCGACCTAGTTTGGCCAAGCGAAACGCCCAGTTGCCTACGAGGCTCTTGGCAGCTACGGTGGGGCGGAAGAAGAGCAGGCAGGTGCAGAAGGTTCGGTCTCCGTTGAGGTAGAACGGGTCGATGGGCTCTGTATAAGGCGATGGCTTCTCTCTATAGTGGTCGAAACTCAAAAACAAGTCGAAGTCCAAGTCGTTGGTATAAGCGTCAGCAGACGACGCGTCAGTGCTAGGGTGTTTGGAAGAAGGGGAGGGGGTTGTGGAGGAAGGCGATGTCGATATCGCTGTAGAGCACGGAGAAGCCAAAGGAGAGCAGATGGTGGATGTAGATGGCCCTGTGGGATGCTACTCGAAAGAAGCCTGCTGACCCGATGCGTGACGCACCCTCCACATCCACTGTCTCCTCGTCTCTGAACTGCCCACTCAGGTCGAGATGCATGGCCTGCGGGGAATAGGGAAGGGTGGGAGAGGACGGGGGATGAGGTGGGGGGCTGGTTGGTGTGTGACGCGCCCTCCACATCCACTGTCTCCTCGTCTCTGAACTGCCCACTCAGGTCGAGATGCATGGCCTGCGGGGAATAGGGAAGGGTGGGAGAGGACGGGGGATGAGGTGGGGGGCTGGTTGGTGTGTGACGCGCCCTCCACATCCACTGTCTCCTCGTCTCTGAACTGCCCACTCAGGTCGAGATGCATGGCCTGCGGGGAATAGGGAAGGGTGGGAGAGGACGGGGGATGAGGTGGGGGGCTGGTTGGTGTGTGACGCGCCCTCCACATCCACTGTCTCCTCGTCTCTGAACTGCCCACTCAGGTCGAGATGCATGGCCTGCGGGGAATAGGGAAGGGTGGGAGAGGACGGGGGATGAGGTGGGGGGCTGGTTGGTGTGTGACGCGCCCTCCACATCCACTGTCTTCTCGTCTCTGAACTGCCCACTCAGGTCGAGATGCATGGCCTGCGGGGAATAGGGAAGGGTGGGAGAGGACGGGGGATGAGGTGGGGGGCTGGTTGGTGTGTGACGCGCCCTCCACATCCACTGTCTCCTCGTCTCTGAACTGCCCACTCAGGTCGAGATGCATGGCCTGCGGGGAATAGGGAAGGGTGGGAGAGGACGGGGGATGAGGTGGGGGGCTGGTTGGTGTGTGACGCGCCCTCCACATCCACTGTCTCCTCGTCTCTGAACTGCCCACTCAGGTCGAGATGCATGGCCTGCGGGGAATAGGGAAGGGTGGGAGAGGACGGGGGATGAGGTGGGGGGCTGGTTGGTGTGTGACGCGCCCTCCACATCCACTGTCTCCTCGTCTCTGAACTGCCCACTCAGGTCGAGATGCATGGCCTGCGGGTGCGGGGCGGGGATGGGGAGGGGCGAGAGAGGAGGGTGCAAGGGGGATGGGAGGGTTGGGCATGTCAACTTGATGCCGTTCTTCCCCGACAACATCTTTGTAACAAAATATGTTGATGACATATGTTGTAATTCTTTCGCCCACCTTCCCCACGCCCACCTTCCCCACGCCCACCTTCCCCACGACCACCTTCCCCACGCCCACCTTCCCCGTTCTCCTCTCTCCCATCCCGGGCTAAGTGGTTCCGGTTCCCACCCGAGATGGTCCAGACTCCCACCACCCGTGTAGGGTGCATCCGGATCCCACCCGGGTTGGGAACCAAACCCCCATCAGGGCAGGGTGGATCCAGTTCCTTCCCACATACGCAGGGTATATTATCTCTCCCTATGGCCCAGGTGATCGAGATCCAACGTGATCTGAATGATTGGCCTAGAAATAAGGTAGGGGTAGGTGTATATATTATGCCTCCCCATTGCCCCGGTGTGGTTTTTTCTACTGCCCCAAAGGATGGTAACCCAGCATGATCCGAGTGTTTGGCCTAGGAGTACGGTAGGGGAGTGGTATATCATCCCTCCCCAAGGCCCTTGCAGAGTGTTCATTTTCGGCCCAAATGTTGGTAACCCAACGTGAACCAAGATGTGAACCCAGCCCGGGATGGGAGAGAGAAGAACCGAGAGAGTGCTAAGAATAGGCCAGGCGAGGCCATGACCGAGAACGAATGATGGGGCAATGAATGATGGGGCAATGAATGATGGGGCAATGAATGATGGGGCAATGAATGATGGGGCAATGAATGATGGGGCAATGAATGATGGGGCAATGAATGATGGGGCAATGAATGATGGGGCAATGAATGATGGGGTACGTGGGGTGCTGAAAGAACACACCTTTCCAGGTTTTTTACTTCTGAGGCGCCTCAAAAGGTACGTGGGGTGCTGAAAGAACACACCTTTCCAGGTTTTCGTAGAGCGGTCTTTAGAATTCTTTAAACATACATGCACCTGGGGTGCTGCAATGAATGATCGGCAGCTGGGGCATGCTGCGCGAAACTCACCTGGCCAGGCCATTTGCCATAGAAGCTTGTTTAGGCGAGCTGCAGTCTAGAAGAAATCTTTAGCAAATGTCGATCATTTGCTAAAGATTTCTTCTAGACTGCAGCTCGAATAAACAAGCTTCTATGGGCAGCTGGGGCATGCTGCGCGAACTCACCTGGCCAGGCCATTTGGAGTGGGCAAACTGAAGGCTTGTGTTGTCCGCGGCAAAGACTATGAAGTGCCGGCTTAGCCCCACCCGCTCCAGATGCAGCACCCAGTTCTCCAGCATGTCTTCATAGCCTGGACGACCCGGTGGCATGGTGATGGGGTGGTAGGGTAACAGCGTAACAGTGAACGCAACGTGTTGTTCAGCTGCAACTCGACGCCCTCAGGAGCAATCCAACGCACAGCCCCATGCAGAGGTACAAGGGAACGGGGATGAGAGGCACAACCCAATACGTTCCCATGCAGCATGCAGGGTGCCCCAGAGGCAGAGAGATAGGGTGACAGCAGGGTCACAGGGTGACACGGTAACATGGTAACAGTGGAACTAGCTGGGAATGATGAAAGTGAAGCTACAAGGCAAAGGGGAGGAAAGGAGCAAGCAATGCAGTTACAGTTACACAATTCCATTTCTTTTCCTTATGACAAACTCAAGTGGGAGCAACACAAGAACTCCAATAAAGAATATTTCAGGCGCGTGGGTGCACGCGCGAGGGGTCACTTCCGCCATTGAGGGCACAGAACCCGGTTCTTCAGCATGCCTCACAGGCTGGGAAACCACGGTAACATGGTAACTCAGTAACACGGGACTCTCCTTGAAAAGGGTAATAGAGAGGGTACTACAGGAAACGCGGGGCAAAAGGATGCGGAGAATGGGGACCATCGAACCTGCATTTGTCAACGCGATAATGACAGTTCCGTTAAGCGAGACGCGGCTGGCCATGTCCCATAGCGCGCCGAGTTTCTCATGAAGATCGCCGAGGCCGTCTCCTGCCAGGCGACGATGGACTGGTTCGCGAAGAGGTTCACAAAAGGGTTTGCGAAGAGCATTGAAGAAGGAGCAGGCGACAAAACGGGTGTTGAGAAGAAAAGCCGCGACGAGGAGGAGGAGGAGGAGAGTGGAACGGAAGAGGTGCTGACAGGACAACGAGGAGGTTCCGAGCACACGTGGCGGTTTTTCTGTGGCTGGAAAATCCATCGCTAACAACCCGGGTCGCCAATCGAAGCGCTCGTGCGAATTACCGGCATTAGCTGCAGGACGTGAACGTGTGAGTGAACGGGGTGCATGGGACGGAAACACATCGCCGCTGCGTCATTTTCGGCCGCGTTAAACTCAATGCACCAGTCAGCTGAGATTCGGCGTGGGGGGGGAGACTCAGGGTAGAGTAAAAGGATATGTAGGGACTCCGAGGCGGGAAACTCGCTTTGCGCGCCCTTCCCCGCGGCGCTCGTCCTCCAGCGGGAAGTGCATGTGCGCGGCCAGGGAAAACGACAGAAATAATCCCCCATTTCATTTGCGACAACAAGACTAGCAGCTGTGCATTTTTCGCGACCCATTTGCGAAGGACTGCTGCATTTAGCGAATCGATCATTGAGGCTCAGTTATCGCGAATTGAGGCTGTGTTGAAAAGACCCTGCCTTGAGGGGCGACGAATTTCTGGAGTTTCTAGCATAGGTGGTTGTCGCGAAGGGATGCGAAGATTTGTGTGTATCAGCAGATCGTGTCGTAACGCTTTTCGCGAACCGTCGTGGGCATCGCCTCATCGCCGTCGCAGTGTGCACATGTGTTTGATATCTAGGCAGAACTCGTGGTTGACAGTTCGCTCCAACACCAGAGAACAAACATTGCATCGCAAATGATTTCGACGAACGCAGCATAGTGCGCCGGTTACCGTTCGCAACTTCCGATGGTTGGGAAGTTGGTTATGGAAATGTTCCACGCCCACATCTATTTACTGTAGAGTGCGGAGAGTTTTAGCATGGGTTCAGTGCGGTTGCGAGCCACGCTTGGCCTTAGCTCTTGATCTTGAGATCGCTCACCTACCACACCAAAAACACCCGTCAGCGATCTACCCTGAACACCCGATCGAGGCGCTCCAGAGCAGCCGTCAGTCACGGCGAGCATCAGGGAAACTGTTGCTTGCTATCGTTGTCGCGTGCCTCGCGGCGCGATTTCAACACTAGCTAATCGTCCTGCGAACAACTGATGCGTCTCCATTGTAGTAAAATCGTAAAACCGCGCTCGGGACTGAAAATTGCCAATAGAACGACCACACGATTTATTTGTCTTAGTTACGAACAGGTTGCTAAGACGGAGTTCAGGCTCCACGCAAATGTCGCCAGTTCAAGAACAAGGGTGCAAGTTTTCTGAGAATTCTCAGGTGTCTTTTGGGTCGACTCAAAAGTCACCTGAAAAAGCACCTGCAATAAAATGGACTCAAGGACAAGGGGGCACTTCGTTCGCGCCAGAAATCTCCAATCGACGCTTGACACGTGTCGGAGTTGATCTTTCAGCCATGCAAAATTCCCCACGTATGCTGAGACCGCCGTTCTCCTGTCAACGCCTCTTCCGTTCCTCTCTCGTCCTCCTCCTCCTCGCAACTCTTCTCGGCAACCTCGTCGCATGCTCCTTCGCCGAACCTCTTCGCGAACCTGGTCGCGAACCCGTTCGCGAGCCAGGCCATCGTCGCCTGGCAGGAGACGGCCTCAGCGATCTTCATGAGAAGCTCGGCGCGCTATGGGACATGGCCAGCCGCGTCTCGCTTAACGGGACTGTCATTATCGCCTCCTCGAATGCAGGTATGCCCTAAAATGAAATTGGAGTATGACAGAATCACGTCATAATGTGGCCCTCGATTACAAGGGTATGGAATTGTTGGAATTGGAAAGTTTCTGCCTCCCCCGTACTTGTGCGTTGCATGCTACTTAATTACTACTTAATTACCATCCTTTGTGCAATCATGCAGATGGAACACATGGAAGGAAATGTTCATCCTCTCTTCTCCTTTTACTCATTATCTAGCTACTATCTGCCATACTACTTGCGACCTTGTTACCCCGCTGTCCTGTTACCCTGTAACCCTGTTACACTGTCGCTTATCATTGTCTATGAGGCCATGCTGGAAAGGGGGGTTGAGTTAATCGTCCTTCCGGGGTCCTTTCCCCTCCTCTCGAACAGTTACCCTTCTCCAACAATTCCCTGCTTCCCATATTCCTCAGTTACGCTGTTACCCTGTCACCACATGACCGTGCCATTCCCCACCCTTTACCCATGATACCCAGTTACCCTGTAACCGTGCCACCGAACTGGCACACAGGCTATGAGGACATGCTGGAAATCTGGGTGCGGTGCTGCACCTGAAGGCGTTTGAGTCCACTGTGCTGCACCTGAAGGCGTTTGAGTCCACTGTGCTGCACCTGAAGGCGTTTGAGTCCACTGTGCTGCACCTGAAGGCGTTTGAGTCCACTGTGCTGCACCTGAAGGCGTTTGAGTCCGCTGTGCTGCACCTGAAGGCGTTTGAGTCCACTGTGCTGCACGTGAAGGCGTTTGAGTCCGCTGTGCTGCACCTGAAGGCGTTTGAGTCCGCTGTGCTGCACCTGAAGGCGTTTGAGTCCACTGTGCTGCACCTGAAGGCGTTTGAGTCCACTGTGCTGCACCTGAAGGCGTTTGAGTCCGCTGTGCTGCACCTGAAGGCGTTTGAGTCCGCTGTGCTGCACCTGAAGGCGTTTGAGTCCGCTGTGCTGCACCTGAAGGCGTTAACCTGTTACCATGTCACCCCATCACCGTCCACTGCAGGCTACGAGGACATGCTGGAGAACTGGGCTCTGCATCTGAAGGCGTTGAGTCCACTGTGCTGCATCTGTTACACTGTTACCCTCTTACCCATCACTGTGCCACCATGCCAGGTTACGAGGACATGCTAGAGAACTGGGTACTGCATCTGGAGCGGGTGGGTCTGGGCCGGAACTTCATAGTCTTTGCAGCTGACAGCAAGAGCCTCGAATTCGCCCACTCCAAGTGGCCTGGCCAGGTGAGTGAGTCGCTGAGGCACCTTTCAGAAGGCGGTAACTGTCAACTGGTTACTAGTAACTAGTAACTGGACATTTAGAAGGTTCAAGGGTTATTTTGCTCGGCTCAGGTTTGCAGGTCAGATAGGGCAGGGCAGGTCAAGTGCATCTGCAGCGGGCGGGTGGGCCTGGGCCGTCACGTCACCGTCTTTGCTGCGGATGGCAAGAGCCTCGAAGTCGGCCACTCCAGGTGAGTCGTTGAGGGCAGGTGAGTCGTTGAGATCCCTGCAAAAAGTGGTAACGGGTTACTGCTGGTTACTGGTTGCTGGTAAGTAGCAACTTGTAACAGGCAATTGGGCACCTAAACGGTTCAGCGTTTTTTTTTGTCAGTTCAGGTTCAGGTTCAGGTTCAGGTTCAGGTTTGCGTCGCAGGACAGGTCGATTGCCTTTCACGTTCATGGCCCTTTCTCGTCTTACCACCCTCTTCCTTCTACCCTCCCATGCCTTCTATCTTGGAGTCAGTTTTGGAGATTTTCGAATTTGTATATTTCCCCACTGCGCCGAAAGAACGAATCTCAAAATTGTGTATTTTCCCATTGCTTTCTGGGACGATTTTCTGCAAGAGAAGGCGGAGTGAATGCGGAAGGGGCATCACACATAAAGTCGGCGGCACAACCCCCCACCCCATCCATCTCCCTAAGACCCTCCTCTCTCTCACCCCTCCCCGTTCCCACAGGCCATTTATCCGGACCTGAGAAGGCAGTTTGGCAATGAGGAGAGGGCAGACGTGGAGTGCGCATCATGCATCGGGTCAACACACCTGTCCACCTCATCCACCCCCCTTCATACCCACACATTTCCCTTATACCCACACATTTCCCTTATACCCACACATTTCCCTTATACCCACACATTTCCCTTACACCCACCCCTCACACCTCCCCATTCCCGCAGGCCATTCATCTGGACCTGAGTGGGCAGTTTGGTCAAGAGGAGAGGGCGGACGTGGAGGGGGCATCGGTCATCGGGTCAGCAGCCTTCCACCGGGTGGCGTCCCACCGGGCCATCTACATCCACCATCTGCTCTCCTTTGGCTTCTCCGTGCTCTACAGCGATATCGACATCGCCTTCCTGCACAACCCCCTCCCCTTCTTCCAAAAAAACGACCCGAATAACATCGAGTAAGGAAGTGCTTTAGTTGAGGGTTTTTTTTTTTTTTCGAGTGATCTAGTCCAGGGGAATTCTCAGCTCTGTTTCCTCTTGCTGCTCTGCTCTTCCGCTATGAGTGAAGTCCCTTGGGACTTTGATTCTTTGAGCATTCAGAATCACCACCTCCTCTCCTTTGGCTTCTACAGCCAGCCACCACCTTGCTTCTCCGTTCTCTACAGTGATATAGACATACATCCCCTTCCTCCACAACCCCCTCCCCTTCTTCCAAACACCTAACCCTTAGACATGAGCAAAAATTCGAACCTCTGTTCGGTTCGACACGAAAGTGTTCGACTCGAACGTGTTCGACTGTTTTTTTTTGCCCAAAATTGTTCGTGACGAACACCACGTTCGACTGTTCGAGTGTTCGTGTGCAGAAAAATGCACGAACACGAAGGTGTTCGAGAACACAATGTGTTCGTCTCGAACACCTAGGCGTTCGAGGGAAAATTCAGCGTGTCAAAGTATGACACTGGTTGGATCTAAAAGGGGAGGGCAACGATTGAGCTCAAGAATGAGCTCAATCGTCGATATAGCCTAAGGATGACATTCCGCCCCTTACCCACTAAAACTACCACATTCCCATGGTCAAAATTCTACATTGTGGCTGGAAACATTAGGTATAAGGTTGGATTAGGGTAGGAGACGGTTAAAAATAGGTAATAAGGGCATTTCGGTTTAGGTTGGAGTTTAGCAAGGCGAAATTGGATATCCACCAGATCTGCGCCAAGCCTAACTATATCTCTTGTAGGGCTATAGGAAACGTGATATTGCTTCTAGTACACTCGCCCTGCCTTAATGTGACTATACTGAAAGAACCCCCCAAAGCAAACTGTTTGAGTTCGGGTCAAACACCTTAGTGTTCGGCCTTGCCTCAAAACTGTTCGACCCTATACTCGAACGGGGAACACTAACATTTAAGAAAACTGTTGGAGTCAAACGTGTTCGGTTTGCTCGTTGCTCATGTCTACCAACCCTCCCCTTCTCGCCTCGTCCCTCGGCAATCCTAGCAGCAGCGGCAGCAGCGGCGGCAGTGGCAGCAGCAGCGACAACGGCAAGAGCTTAGATGCATCTGCGGCCAAAACTATAAGCGATTTCGACATGTTTATCACGCACGATCGATACATGAAGCAGCCGTCGCCCGTCATCGATCCCATCAACCCCATTTACCTCAACGGCCAGCCCCTCTTCTGCAGCTGTTTCCTCTTCTTCCGCCCCACCCTCCCCGCCAAGAGCCTCGTAGGCAACTGGGCGTTTCGCATGGCAAAACTAGGCCGGCAGGGAGGGCTGGATCAAGACCAACTGAACCTAGTCATGCAGTGGATGCTTGAGAGGAAGGTGCTTCCGAGGATTGGCGTGCTGCCGCCGCTGCAGTTTCCGTCCGGGCAGTTGATGAAGGATCACTGGGGGAAGTTTGAGGAGGTGCGGCCGCGGGTGGTGATGGTGCACGCGAATTATCTGACTGGGAAGGTGGCGAAGATCAAGGGGCTGAAGAAGGCGGGGCTGTGGCGGGTGAAGGGGAACGCGCTGGGGAATGCGACGGCTGCTGCTGCTGCTGCTGCTGCTGCCTCTGCCACTGGGGCTCCTGCTGCTGTTGCTGCCGCTGCTGCTGCTGTGGCTGGGAAGGGGAAAGGAGATAGTGACAAGGAGGCAGGGGTAGTAGAAGGGGATGAGGAAGAAGAGAAGAAGGAGGATGAGGAGGAAGAGGAGGAGGAGCCGGTGCTGCTGTTCCCAATGCCTAGGCGCCCGGATGAGGCTGGAGAGGCGGACAGCCTTGGCGAGAGGTGGACAGCCTTGGCGGATGAGACCCCAGGGATGCTGGAGAGGGGGAGAGAGGAGGGCAGCGCAGGGGGGACGGGCAAGGTGGGGGAGGCCCGCGTGGGGGAGCCGCTGGCAGGAGGAGGGGGAGGGGGGGCGTCAGGGGGAAGCGGTGGGGGGGAGGAAGGGGGGGATTGGGAAGCGGAGGTGTTGGGAGCGGTGGAGCCGTGGGTAGGGGAGCATCTGGGGGAGATGGAGGAGAAGGGGATGAGGATGAAGGGGGCTGCTGGCATGGTGATCGTCACTGTTGCGTGCGATGGTGCGTTGTTATCATAGAGGTGATTTCTGGATTGTGGGTGGGGGGGTATGCAGCATGCATGCGTGGGTGGGGGGGCATCTGGGGGAGATGGAGGAGAAGGGGATGAGGATCAAGGGGGCTGCTGGCATGGTGATCGTCACTGTTGCCTGCGATGGTGCGTTGCTGGCCTTTTGTCAGGAAGGTGATTTCTGGATTGGTGCAGCGTGCATGTGTGGGGGAGCATGTGGGGAAGGTGCAGGAAGGGGGGACGCGGATCAAGGGGGCTGCTGGCATGGTGATCGTCACTGTCGCCTGCGATGGTGCGTTCTTGTTGTTCGAGAGGTGGTCTCTGGATTGATGCAGCATGCAAGGGTGGGTGGGGGAGCATTTTGAGGGAGGTGGAGGAGAAGGGGACGCGGATCGAGTGGGGGGCGGTTTTGATTTTTGAGGCGCCTAAAAAAAGGCGCCTAAAAACTGGTTCACCCACGTGGGCCACATGCCTGATTCCCCATCGTGCCCTCCCCACCCCCCCACCACAGGCCAGAAGGCGCTATTCCGCAACTGGTTCACCCACGTGGGCCGCATCCCTCCCTCCTCCCTCTTACATGGTATCAGCCTCTTGTTGCTGCCTCACCCATCCCTCCCCTCCCCATGCCTGAATGCCGAATCCCCCCACCATCGCCCCCTTTATCTTTCAGGCCAGGAGGCGCTATTCCGCAACTGGTTCACCCACGTAGGCCGCATCCCTTCTCTCGGCAACATCGTGCTCGCTTCCGTGCCTCCTCAGGTACGAAGCCGAGTTCAATTTCCTTCTCCGTCAAGCAACCCTCCCAGTAGCCCTAGGTGGACTGGGCCTCACGGACCCCACAACAGAAGCAGCACCAGCCTACCTGGCTTCGACAACAGAGGCGCTACGTTTGCTCCGCTCCCTCGACCTTCCAGCAACCGCGGCGCTTGGGGGCGACGGCAACGCCCTGCAGCCGTTTTTTTAGTCGACTCAACAACCGCGGCGCTAGGGGGCAACAGCAACGCCCTGCAGCCGTCTGCAACTGTCTACAGCGCACTCGGTCACCATCCAAGACATGGAGGGACGACTGCCACCGCTGGCGCTGCAACACCTCCGCGAGGAGCAGCAAACCCCGTCCCAAGACCAGCTGCAGCGCGCCCTCTCCCAGGAAGTGCACGCGGCAAATGCCGACGCCCTGACAGAGGAGTCACGCGCAATCAGGTCAGCCCCTGAGATGGGCCACACGCTCTGCCTTGTCAGCCTGAGAGGCGAGGGAGCGGGAGCATGGCTGCAAGCCCTACCCTTGACTCCAGACCTTTGCTTTTCACCAGGCCAATTCCGAACAGCCCTGGCCTTCCGCATGGGCATCCGACAGAATTTACCCACTGTGTGCGAGTGTGGAGAGCTCGTAGCCGACTGCAGCCTACCCAACCACCTACTCCGCTGCAGCACAGGCCCCGATAGAACGCGCACACACAACCAGCTGGCCTTCGCCGTGGCTAAAATGGCCAGGGAGGCGCAGCTGGTGGTATACCTGGAGAATGCAATGTACTCACCGCCAGATGACCCGAAGAAGGCCGATGTGATTGTACGCGACCCAGACAGTGGAGAGACCTGGATCACAGACACGACTATCACTGACCCTGTGCTACAGAACCGAGACCCCGCAGCCCGCAAACCCCCAGGCTGGGCTGCAAGGGAGGCACAGAAGCGGAAGGAAAGGGATTACTATAGGCACACAGAACACGTGGTGTTCTGCGCCCTGGCCGTCGAGACCTACGGGGCAAACGCGCCCCCCACGACGGCGTTCCTGAAGCTTCTAGCCACAGCAGCAGCTAGGAACCGCTTCAGGGCCAACCCTTTGGCGAAATCCGCCAAGAAGATGGCCTGCCACTTCAGCCAGCGCTGGTCTGTGGCACTCCAGAGCGCCCAGGCAAACGATTTTTGAGGCGCCTCAAAAACCACTTCAGCCAACGCTGGTGAGTGGCTGGCACTCCAACGCTCCCAGGCGAACGCCTTGCACACCAAGATGAGACCAGGGCAGGGATTGAGGCGGCGCACCCCGAGATGGCCAGGGCAGGGATTGAGGCGGCGCACCCCCAGATGGCCAGGGCGGGGATTGAGGCGGCGCACCCCCAGATGGCCAGGGCAGGGATTGAGGCGGCGCACCCCCAGATGGCCAGGGCAGGGATTGAGGCGGCGCACCCCCAGATGGCAGCGCACCCATGGCCGCTGCACTCCAGATGGCAGCGCACCCATGGCCGCTGCACCCCAGATGGCAGCGCACCCATGGCCGCTGCACCCCAGATGGCAGCGCACCCATGGCCGCTGCACCCCAGATGGCAGCGCACCCATGGCCGCTGCACCCCAGATGGCAGCGCACCCATGGCCGCTGCACCCCAGATGGCAGCCCATGGCCGCTGCACCCCAGATGGCAGCCCATGGCCGCTGCACCCCAGATGGCAGCGCACCCATGGCCGCTGCACCCCAGATGGCAGCGCACCCATGGCCGCTGCACCCCAGATGGCAGCGCACCCATGGCCGCTGCACCCCAGATGGCAGCCCATGGCCGCTGCACCCCAGATGGCAGCCCATGGCCGCTGCACCTGGGGGACATCCTCCACACGCTGGAGGGGTAGAGGGTCACTCAGGGGGGGGGGGAGGGTCAGAGGGGTGGGTTAATGGGTCAGAAGGTCTAAGGGAATCACGAGTCAAACTACATGTCTGTCCCCCTGCTGAATTAATACAAAGGACCATTTGAGAGTGAGAGTGAGAGTGCCCTTTGATTTCTCGCATCCTTCAGGTGAGTGCCGTTCCAGCCAGTTCCCACTCGCCTCAAGTGAGTGTCACTCTAGGTTCTAATTATTGCACCCTGTGCCTGCCATGCTAGTCTAGTCTCCTCACCCCCTCCTTGCACATGCGCACGCCAGGGGGCCACATAATTACTCCGCCGCGTGATCATCCCCTCCTCTCCTGTCTCGTCTCGACACCCCTCAACTGAACATGCAGATGCGCACGCCAGGGGGCCACGTGATTACTCGCTCCGATGAAAGCTTATCGCCTCGAGTGGCCAGAGCCACGTGCCTACTGCTGCCTCCCCTCATCCTCGCCCGCTTGCTGGCTGCCAATGTCACCGTTGTCTACAGGTACAGTGAGCAATGCAGTGAGCAGTGCCGTGAGCAGTGCTGCTAGTGTGCTACAGGTGCAGTGAGCAGTGATTTGTACTGTACTGTTAAAATAAAAATTATCACATCGTTTTCTCCTCACTCCCGCCTAATTCTCTAAGCACTTTTCCTTACTCGTACCTTATTCTCCCTTATCATTCCTTTGTTCTACCCTCATTCCTCACTCATTTTCCACTCGTTCTTCCGTCATTCTCCACGCACGTGTCGCATATCCATCGCTTATCCTTCTACTCTACCATCACTCTCCCCTCAATCACTCTCTTTGCCCTCTCTTCCCGATTTTTTAGGCGCCTCAAAACGATATTTGATTTTTGATCGCCTAAAAAATCGTATCCGCCGCTTATCCTTCCACTCTACCATCACTCTCCCCTCAATCAATATCTTCGCCCTCTCTTCCCCTTGTCCCCATCCGCCCGACCCTACACCCTGCCTCCCACCAGCGACATCAACTCAGTGTGGCTGCGTGATCCCCGCCGCTACTTCCCGCCATCCCACTCCCTCGTGCTGACCTCCCTCTCCCACCAAGACCCGCCTCTGCAGCAGCAGCCGCCAGTCACGCCACCAGCGCAAGGGGCAGCAGAGAACAGGCAGCAGGCAGCGGCACCTGCTCCCCCCAACACCACTGCCCTCGCGCCGTCCCTTCTGGGGTCCCTCTCTCCATGGCTCGTGGTTCTCCGCCCCTCCTCTGCTGTGCAAGCCATGGTGCACCGCTGGGCGGTTGGGGCTTTAAGGGGTTATGTGTCGGCAGGTGCGGCTGCAGGAAGGGGTGGTTCGGGCGTGTTTTCAGGTTCGGAGGTTCTCAGGACGGCGCTGAATCATGCCGTGGCGGAGATGGTTCGGGGTGAGAGGCTCGTGGGAGTCGAGGAAGATGGGTTCGGTGTAGGTTCGGAAGGAGGCGTGGACGCAGGCATGGAAGCAGGTACAGAAGCAGGCACAGGAGCAGATACGGGAGCAGGTCTGGGAGCAGGTCTGGGAGCAGGTCTGGGAGGAGGCACAAAAGAGGGGCAGCGGGGAGCAAGCGTGGGGGTGCTTCCAGAGCAGTTATTCCCGCCTGGGTGGAGGGCGGTAGGGGACAGAGCATGGCTGGAGGCGCATAGGAAGGAGATAGTGGCCGTGCAGGTGAGTTGTGGGGAGGATGGTAGGCAGCAGGAGGTTTGCCTTCGAGACATGAAGCTGTGGCTGTAACTTGTAATCAGTGCCGCTGCTATGACTGTACTGAGTCCTGACAAGGCGTGACCATCGTAATGGAATGCATGGGATCTGGGAAGGTTGGTTGGAGGTTCATCAGCCTGGTTGGTGGTTGTCCAATAAAGCCCCAGGTCGGGGCCATGGTGACTTGACTTCTGAGGACTCAAAATTCACTCACTGACAAGGCTTGACCATTGTACTGGTAACTGATCTGATCAACCTTCTACTTGTCTTCAGGTACGGCCTGCCATGCCATACCATGCAGTGCAAGTAAGCATGAGTCAGGGTGCACCAGAGCTTGGATTGAACAATCTAGCAGGAACTTAAAGGTGAAGAGACATGGCAGTCGGCTAAACCATAAATTGCTGTAAAGGTAAAATTTCCAAACGCCACTGTTTTTGAACTGGTGTCATGTAAGGTCAATATCTGAAGTATATTTTTTCGTTGTTGTGTTATCCTCATACGTTTCATGATCTTACCCTGCCTTTATCGCGTCCCTGCTTTTATCAGAGCTGACCAAATTGTCAGGAACTGAACACCAGTTCCTCGGAATCACCTTCCCTAGCTAAGATTTCGAGATAACTGCTCCATTGCCTTGTTTGGTGATTCGCTCTTGCCCGCGTGTCCAGAGCAATTATCACTGAATTTGATGGCCACGCGAGCAATTCAGGGACACGTGGGCAAGAGCGAATCACCAAACAAGGCCCTGGAGCAATTCTCTAAGATTTCTCGACTGGTCTTTTTGGCGGGAGCGGCGGCTATGGCCCAAGTCAGTTTAGGACGCAGCATGGGTTCCCTCCGTCTCTCTCGCTTTCGCCGAAGCTGTGAACTGGCGATTCCAGTGTTCACGAACCACAATGAAGGTACGCACGGCGACGACATTCTCGAGCGGCCTCGAGCTGATCACGACGCCGATTCCGTCCATTTTGACCCGTCAGCCAATCAACCGCCAGTCGGGCACTTTCGTCGACGAACCTAGTTTATGGACAGCGGGCGAGTTTAGCGGAAACGAGATCCGTATACATTTCTGGGCAGCGTCACTTGAGTTTGCTGCCCGAAGACTCCGTGATTGCAGATGAGCGAGTCGAAATGTTGTCCTTTTGGACAGCTCCGAGCTAGGAGGTTCCGCAGACTCGTAAAGTTCCTATTGGCTGGCCAAACCTTTCATGCTTTCGGATCCAATCACACAGCAGTACCATAACACTACCGAAGTGTTTTTTTTTTCACGTTGGGCAGCAGGCTTTCTTCCTCCGCAGCCTCGAGAGTTTCTTCTGTCCACCCGAGCTCCATCCACTTTTCCCTTCGCCTTGGAACCTCCTCCCTTCCCAACTCTACAAATCTCACCCGTCCGTCATTCCCACCACCACAGTAATTGCAATCTCAATCTGCATTCGACTCTCGGACTCAGCTTCTAGCTCCTCGAGGCTTCGATCAGCTTCAGGTTTTAGCTTCGCCTCTCGTCTCGCCTGTGCGATTAGCCTACCGCTATGGCATCTTGGATTCCCCCGTCTCTTGCTGGATCTGCGCGCCGCGCTAACATCTTGAAGACGTGGCGGCACGCGATTGCAGTGCGCGTGGGACGCTTTAACGAGGAAGAGCAGTGCGCTATGCGCTCCCCCCGTGCGTCGCTCGGCTTCTCCCCTCTGCGACCCAAGCCCGTGGCTAAGCCGCCCAGCAAGAAGCCCAGGCCCAGGGATGTGATGGGTACCGCTGCTGCTGTGAAGCCCAGAGCGGTGCAGAGCGGTCAAGTGGCCGTCGCAGCTGCAGCATTCAACGCCACGCCAGCAAAGGCGACACCAGCAAAGACGACGCTGGCTAAGTTGACGCCAGCCAAGGCGGCGCCAGCCAAAGCGACGCCAACTAAGGCGACGCCAGCTAAGGTGGCGCCAGTTAAGGTGACCCCAGCCAAGGCGTCGCCAGCTAAGGTGGCGCCATCAACCAAGGCCGTGCCAGCTAAGGCGCCAGCATCTAATGTGACACCTGCAGGCCCTATTGCGATGGTAGATGTAAAGTCTGCAAGTGCAAGCAACCTTTCTGCAGCAGCATCAGCAGCAGCAGCAGCAGCTCCGCACATCCCAAAGGCCGGTGTTCTTGGCGCAAGTGGAATTCCGAGACCTGCAAGCAGTGCGTCAACAAGGAGGGCCGCAGCAGGAGCGACAGCAAGTGGCATTCCCAAGCCAGGAAAGGCAGCAGCCAAGTAAAGGAGGGAAAAAAAAAACACACACACACACAAAAAAAACAGCAGCGGCAGCAGCAGCAGCAGATGAGATCAAGGGCGTGTTCAATGCGAATGTGAAGGGACGAGTGTGGTGGGTGAGATGGCATGGCTGGTGGGGGCTTGAGGGAGGTGCATGGAGGGACTTACCCCTTTTTCCACCCTGCTTGCAGGGTGTTGTGGGAGAGGTGGAGGAATGTGGTGAGATGGAATGGGGAGGCATGGCATGAAGGGGAAGAACATGCCATTGTCATGACTTCACCCCGTTTGTACCCCTTTCCTTCCCTCGGATTCCCTTCCACTTTCCCCCCTGATTTCTCCTTTTACCTCTTTCCACCTGCCAACACCACTCTTCACCTCGCCACTCTCTTGCAGCAATTCATGCGTTTCCTTTGCACTGCTTCCTAACTCCTGAGGTTGCTGTTTTGACTATTCTACATTTTCACCGTCTCTTGTTTTTCTCCGTATCGCCAGCTAGTCCCACACATCTCCCCCTCCTTCCATCTGTTCAAGATTTGAGCAGTATGGATGCATTGAATACATGATTCAACATTTCCCTCTCCATTCATCATGTTCTGCTTTGTGAGTATATTGTTCCGGTTTCATTGCCTCTTGGTGCTTTCACCATTACTTGCCAGATTTACCAGCTCATGTCATCATGCTTTCAGTTCTCTTTGCAGTCGTATCAGGTGATGATGTTTTTGCTGCCTCATTCCGATATTATAAGCTTAACAGCATTTCAATCTCTCAGGCCATTCATATCAGCTCATGATCCTTTCAGTGGTTCATGCTAGGATCGTTCGGTCATTATGAGGTCATAGCATTTCATGCCAAGTTCATCAGCTCATCATCCTTTCAGCATCTCTTGCCAATTTAATGAAGTCATGATCCTATCCGTAGTTAATTCCAATCTGACGAGCTCATGATGTTTGCAGCAGCTCATGCTAATCTGCTGAGTACCTTATCATTTCAGTATGTATGCGAAATTTACCTACTCAAGAGGCTTTCAGCATCTCACGGCAGTTTGTTCATCCGATGATGCCATCAGTACTTCGTTCCTGCTTCATCAGCTATCATTATTATCTCCTGTAATACATGATGAGTTCAGCAATTCATGACGCTTGCTGGTTTCGGTATCTATGCCAACCAAGCTCATTAGCTTATGATAATTGTAGAATCTCATTACGATTTCTTAAGCTGATGTTGCATCGAGATTTTTTTTCCTTATCTCATCTGCTCATGATGCTTTCAGCATGTCATGCCAACTTCAGCTCATTATGCTTGCAATCCCAATGCCATTTAACTCATCTGCTCATGTTGTTCTCATTGTTTATGCCACTTTCATCGACTCATAAGTATCTCGTGCTAATATTTTTGCGGCATCATGCGTGCAGTATCTTGATTAACTCATGCTGCTCTCACTATCGCATCCCGGTGTCATCAGGCCATGATGTTTTCATTATCTAATGTCAAAGGCTATCAAGGGGAGGGGAGGAGGGGTAGCAGTGGTGGGTGAAGGGGAGCATTGGCAGCCAGAGGGAAGCAGTGTTCTGAGGGCAGGATGATGAGAACCGTGCATGCTGGGCAGAATTCGAGTGAAGCAGGGATGATTGATTGGTATGGGTGGGGAGGGGGCAGGCATAGAGTTGTTGGAAAGTTAATGGAATGCTCGGTGGCACTCTGGTCAGAGGGATCTTTCGTTTGGTGTGACTACTAAGATTTCGCGAGCTTGGTTTGCATAGCGTGGCCGTTTTGGAAAGTGCGTGTGGGATCCCAATCTTATTCCCAGCCATTGCTTCACTTCTGTCGTAGCCGTTGGTGCTGCTGTTGGATGCCGGCATTCTCTGCAGCTATGCCATCACATCAGCAGGCAGAGCATACTTCTTCCTCATGGCGTTCATTGCTTGTACTAGCTTGTGCTAGTCTGGAATATCAGAGCCAATGCCGTCAGATGAATCGGCTACAGATTGCCAGCACAGATAACATTTCAGTTCTTGCATAACGATGTACACGCAATCACAATATTCACAACACGAGTTTCTGAAGTTTTGAGGGATGCATGCTTGTTGAGCTGCTTTCTCCAGCGTTGGATTCTGGAATGAAATCATGTGTTCCCTACATATTTGAGAGTAGTCATACCGGTATTGACATGGAAAAACAACCAGATCATGATAGAAATGTTAGTTTGATTTTAATACGGTCTCAAGAAAGCAGAACCAAATACTAAGTTATATACAGCATAGCACGATTAACGAATCTGCAAATCTCGCATCCTGTCTATTGTTTTCATCCCCTCCATTCTCGAGGGGCTAGCCTGACATCTCCTTCCCAGATAGCGAGGATTGACTGCAGCCAGTGAATGCTTTCCGTCAACTGGCGACGCGGGGCTCCGACTCAGTCGCGCTCGCCCGCCGCTGTGGCGCGGCGTTTCCAGTCTATTGGCGATGACGGAAACAGAACGGAGTGGAACCATTTCCTAGCCGCCTCGAGCTGATCTTACCAAGTTTCCCCATTTCACCAATAATCCAGTCAACGCCAGTAGATCACCTTTTTCGTAGACGAACCGCTTCCTGTTCCTCGGAAGCGGGCGAGCTTAGCGGAAATGCGACTTGGATCTCGTTTTCGGGCAGCTTGGTTGCATGAGCTCGCTACCCTGAATTTCCGTGGTTGTAGGCAAACGAGTCGCCACTGCTGTCCTACGACAGCGGCCAGCTTCGAGTTCCGCTAGTACAGCAGCGAACTCCGAAATTCCACTCGAGCAACGACCTGGAACAGCTGATGGTTGGTTGTCCCGAGCCTCCGTAGGTTCGGCTCCAAACCCAAAACGGATCATCTCCACCAAATGTTTCGGGGTGTTTTCTCTTCTCGGTTCGGGCTGCAGGTTTGGTTCTTCCATAGCCTCGAGAGTTGCTTCTTTCCACCTGGGCTCCATCCACTCTTCCCTCCGCCTTGGAACCTCCTCCCTTCCTAAACACTACAAAGCCCACCCGTCCTCGCCATTTCCACCACTACAGCAGTTGCAATCTCATTCTTGCCTCGACTCCCAGACTCACCTTCTAGCTCCTCGAGGCTTCGATCAGCTTCACCTCCTAGCTTCGGCTCTCTTTTCGCCTGTGCGAGTAGCCTCTCGTTCCTACCGCTATGGCATCTCGGATCCCCCCGTCTCTTGTTGGATCTGCGCGCCGCGCTAACCTCTTGAAGTCGTGGCGGCACGCGATCGCAGTGCGCGTGGGACGCTTCAACGAGGAAGAGCAGTGCGCTATGCGCTCCCCCCGTGCGTCGCTCGGCTTCTCCCCTCTGCGACCCAAGCCCGTGGCTAAGCCGCCCAGCAAGAAGCCCAGGCCCAGGGATGTGATGGGTACCGCTGCTGCTGTGAAGCCCAGAGCAGTGCAGAGCGGTCAAGCGACCGTCGCAGCTGCAGCAACCAAAGCCACGCCAGCTAGTAAGGCGACTTCATTGAATGCAACACCAGCTAAGGCGACCCCAGCTAAGGCGTCGCCAGCTAAGGTGACACCAGTTACGGCGATGCCAGCTAAGGCGACGCCAGCTAAGGTGACGCCAGTTAAGGTGACCCCAGCCAAGCTGTCGCCAGCTAAGGCGACGCCAGCCAAGGCGACTGCCGCAGGAGGTGTGATGGCTGCAGGTGCAAGCAGCCCAGCAGCAGCACCAGCAGTACCAGCAGCAGCCGGTCCCCACACTTCTAAGGCCGGTGTAGTTGGCGCAAGTGGAATTCCGAGACCTCCAAGCAGTGCGTCAACAAGGAGGGCCGCAGTAGGAGCGGCGTCAAGTGGTATTCCCAAGCCAGGAAAGGTAACAGCCAAGTGAAAGAGTGCAAAAGAAAAGTGAAAGAGTGCACAACAAAAAAAAAAAAAAAAAAAAAAAAAAAAACACCAGCAGCACAGCAGCAGCAGATGAGATCCAGGGCCGTGTTCAATGGGGATGTGAAGGGACGAGTGTGGTGGGTGAGATGGCATGGCTGGTGGGGGCTAGTGGGAGGGACTTACCCCTTTTTCCACCCTGCTTGCAGGGTGTTGTGGGAGAGATGGGAGGAGAGGTGGAGGAATGTGGTGAGCTGGAATGGGGATGCATGGCATGACGGGGAAGAGCATGCCCTTGGATCCCCTGCTGATGCACGTATGCAAATGCTTAGCTCTTGAATAGTAGAAAATTCTAGATAAATCTATAGTGTGTTTTAGGTTAGGAATGTGTAATCATTGATGCGATGTTTATATGTATGATGTTGATGTGCATTCTGTGTGTGTGTTGCGACTGAGTGGTGCATGGAAGGGAGAAATGGTTGGTGGGTGTATTGGTGGTGTGGTACGGGGTGAAGCAGGGGGAAGTGACTTGATGGTGCTGGCACTGACTGTGTGATTCAAGTGGAATGCTCATTGTGACATGGTCAACGGTAGTATTTTCTCTTGTTTCTCTCTCTCGTTTCATCTCTTTGAGTTTATAACTGTGCTTATGATTACGTTAAACCAGGATTCGGTTTCTTCCAGTCGTTTCATCATGGTGAGTATTTCTGTTTGGTGAGTATTTTGGTCCAGTTTTATTCCAGTTTCAGTTTCATTGTCTTACCATTTCATCCCAGAATCATCAGCTCATGTCCTCATCTGCTCACTATGCGTTCCCTGTCTCATTCCGATTTCATCAGCTCATCATTCGTTCAGTCTATCATGTCATTCACATCAGTTACTAATTCTTTCAGTGGTTCATGCTAGTCTCATCTAATTATGAACCATAGAAATCTACAGTCCCTCTCCCCCCCCCACATTTGTTGTGTCCTCATGATACCATATCACCATCTACACGCATCCGCCTCCCTCTCCTCTCCTCTCATCGCTCTCAAACGTGAACAGTGATGATGGTTAAACCTTTAAAGAATCCAGGATTCTCCATATTTTGTTATCAGCTAGAGTTTATGCCTGTGTTTACTTTTCTGGATACCAGGTTCGTCAGATCGTCATTCTTTTATTACTAATCAGCTTTGAGTTTTCCACGGAGGTCTTACCAGCTATCACTCTCGTACCCGGTCATTACCGCTTCATTAGCTCATCATTATCGTTCACATCAGCTCATGCTGCTTTCAGTGGCTTGTGCCAGTTTCATCTCATCAGGTTGCTGTGAGGGAGTGGTGTGTGGGTGGGAGAGAGAGGGATGGCCGGTGTGGGTGTGCTCTGATTTGATAGTATTGAAGGTACTACGTACTTGCCTTGTCTGCGCGTTTTCTGAGCGAAAATCCCTCTTCTATCCTCATCCCCCTCCCTCATACCTATCCATATTGCTTCCCAGTCCCATCCCCCACTTGCTCCCTACTCCGTTTGGCAACTGAGGATTAGCCATCACAGATGCTGTGAGGTGAGCAGCCTCATTTGTTCCTAGTACATTCCCATCAATTGCTGTATCTTATCATAGCATCTCATGCAACTGGCATTCGCTCATGATACATTCAGTATCTCATGCCTTTCACCAGCTCATGTGCTTTCTGGTAGCTCATGCCAATTTTCATAATTTCATGGTAATTTCAGGATCCCTTGTCAATGCCCTTAGCTCGTGCTCTCTCAGGTATCTCATGCCAATGTCATCATCTTGCAATGGTCAAGGGAATCCATTTTCAAGATCCTAAGCACATTGTGCTTTCAGGTATCTCATGATCCCTTGCCAGTCTCCTTGCCTCATTATGCTTTCGGATATCTCATGCTAGTTTCATCAACGTACAGTGATGATCATGATCCCTTGTCAATCTCCTTACCACATGATCCTTTCAGGTATCTCGGTTGCCTGTTTCATCATCTTACAATGGTTTTATAATCCCTTGTCCGTTTCCTGGCCATACAATGCTTTCAGCAGCAGATGATGTCAATTTCACTGGTGCACAGTGGTGTCAAAAACTGTCCATTCCTCACATCGTGATGCTTTCACTACCTGATACCATCTTATCATCTCACTCGTGATGGTTGCGTTATTGATGCCAATCTCATCAGCTTATAAAGCACATCATTCATATCTGCATCCTCTAATGTGCCGCCTGATAGGCATGAATTGCTTCCTCTGCTTGTTTGTTTGTTTGTGTATCAGATTCTAGAAATAAAAAGTGATGGCCGATTCTCATGTTTCAAGTTACGTAATATTTTTTTTTCCTAGTTAACTCAAGAGCTGCAAGAGCCACATGTTGATTGAAGTAAGAAGCTTGTACTGCCCTTGTATACATAGTGCAGAATCTGGTTCAATGAATAATCATAATAAATTCAAACAGAAACTGCAAGCCATCAGAGGGACACACAAAAACTACTCCACGTCATGAAGATCATAGTTAATTACCCTGATAAACGAGAGCCTGACAAAGCACACGAGTCACAGTGCACTAAGGCTCTCCTCAATCTCCTCCACCTCTGGATCCACCTCTGGATCCACCTCCGCACCAGCCATGCAAGAGGGCATGGCCCCTACTTCTTCCACCCGACGCCGATCAGCACGTCGTTGAGCGCCTTGTACCACAACAGCAGCGACTGCTTCAGCCCGTAAAATATCTTCAGCAGCTTGCACACCCGGCCAGTCCCGTCATCGTAGTAGTTCGGCTGGTACATGTATGGCAACCGGTCCAGCTTGCACAGGAGGAAGCCATTCTTCATGTCGAGCTGTATCAGGTTCAAGTCGAGGACGGCGACGATGCTGAGGAAGATCCTCAGCATGATGTAGCTGCTCACCGGCGCATAGGTCTTGTCGTAGTCGGCGCCATACATCTGCGTGAAGCCCTTCACGACCAACTTCGCCTTCTCCCGGACGACCGTGTCATCGATGTGGTACTTGGTCATCAGCACCCACCAGTTCTTCATGATGTTGACCCAGCGCGGGCGTTCGACCAGCTGATGAGTCCCCATGCAGATGAGGCTGCGGATCTCCTCGTCCATGGCGGCCTTCACCGCCTTGCCCTTCCAGCTCGCCAACGCCTCCTTCAACGTCATCGTCGCGATGTCCCAACGGTGCTCATGGTCAGCGTGCATGTCCGGGTCGAGCTCTGGGAAGTCGACGTCATCCTCAGCGTCGTCGTACGCCAAGTTGTCGTCGTCGTTGTCATACAGCATTGTGAAGGCAGCTGGCGGCAGGCACACGTGGTAGGTCAGGAAGTCAGGCTACCTCCGAGTTCGGCCTGAGCGCCGTGATCCTGGCTGGACCTCCACCACATCGCTGTTGGTGGACTCCTCGGTGCCCAACTGCTCCCCTCTATCGTCACCGGCTTCTCTGCCCTCTCCTGCCTACTTCACTACAGTTGGCAACCCTGCCGACTTCTCCCCTATTGTTGGCTCCCCTGCCGACTGCCCGGTTACTGAATGCTCCTTGGTCGGACATCATGAGGTCGGTGACCACCTTATGACATCATGCTTCGCCGAACTCGTGATGGTGTCGACGCCGACGTGCGCGAGCCTTGCATGCCATTTGGCCGATGTCAACTTTGTTGCCGAGACGATCGCCCGCAGAGCCACTTCCTCCGACGAGTCCGTCGTCGACGTCGCCGCTCACGGACACAGATCAGTGCAGAGGACCCGGTCGGTATAATTTTCCCGACCAAGCACGTCCCCCGTCGCCGAGACAAGGAGCAGACCGTCCCTGTCTTCCTGCAGCTTCACCCTGTTCTCTTTCAGCTGGCCGGCTGACAACAGGTTCCCCTGTACGCCCAGGACGTAGAGCACTCCAGGGATGAGCACCTGCTTCCCAGCGTCTCCTTGCAAGGCGACAGTGCCTCGGCCACGGACGTCCTGTAGAGCTCCATTGAAGCCGCACACGTGCTTGATGTCGCCACTTGGCGCCAACTCGACGAAAACCTCCTTCGTTCCCATCAGGTGGTGCGAACAGTCGCAATCCAGCAGGACCACCGCCAGGTTTGCCTTCACGGCTGCTGCCACCGCCTGGAAGTCCTCACCAGCCTCCGGCGCCAGCGAGATGGTCGGCTCCACAACGCTGACTAGCGAGCACGACGTCTCCTTGTCGCCTTGCCCTTTGCCGCCCAAGGAGGAGTCGGCGTCCTTTTGTTGTTCAGGATCCGTCACTTTGAGAGCTTACGACGAACTCAATTCTCAACTAAACGCAAATCCGCTAGGTAGGATTGTGCACCTTAGCCTAAGCTACCATCTCCAAGTTGAATCAGTCGTTAAGATGGTCTATAGAGTGAGAACCAAGTAAAAACGTCCAGCAGCCGCATGACTAGAATGGTAGAGGAAGTACAAAACATTAAGGCATAGAATATTGGAGTTGGGGACTCCAAGAGAACCATGAGAGGGAAGGGGTTCTGCAAGAGCTAGGGAAGGATGGTAGGAACCTTCCTAGCAGCAAGGATGCAACCCTCATCATGAGGTCCTTGAGGTGTCACATGCAAAATCCAATCTAGTTGGATTTTGCCTAGGTGTTGCAACATTTGCAACCCATGCTAGAAATTTCTAGCCACCCCAATCCAAAAGTCAAAGTTGCCTTCCCTAACCACCCAACCAAAGATCCCTTTATAATCATGTCCCAAGTAATCACCCAAATTAGATATAACCTTAAAAAGTAATAAGAAATCCAAGTCTTGGAAATCTTGTAACTTGGGCGATCTTGGTCAGAATAAGGCGATCTTGGTCAGAATAAGGCGATCTTGGTATCGTTGGAAAGCTCTGGATTTCTCCTGCATGATCAAGCATTTAAACTTGGAGAAAACACAGAGATGGTAAAATCCAACAGCCATGCACAATGACAAATGCTCATGCAAACAATGCACGCATGAATAGCACGAGCACTCGGCAGGACGTTAGGATGACATGCACTCAGAATGACGTGCATCCAACACCTTTGCCGCAGTCGACTTGGTTGACTGCTTCTCCTTGCGCGGCTTGCTCTCCCAACGAGGGCGACGCCCGGCCGACCTTCCTCGTCCTCCCTTGGCGTCGTCGTCGTCAGAGTCACTCTTTGTTGGGGCACTCGAAGGAGAGGTGGTTGGGGTCGCCGCACAGCCAGCATTCCCGACGTCGGTCTCCTCCACGACTACCATCCTTGGCCGACTTCCCCTTGTCGGCGTCCTTGGCCTGCCTCCCACCTCCGCTTCCACCGCCGCCAGGCTGA